TAAAACTGTGTATAGAAACTCTTTTTTCTAAATCTTAAAAAGTACGATCATGAAATGAATGAAGTACTACATTTAAAAATATTTATCCTTCTATAAAATTATTGAATGGAAAATTAAATTCTGACTGAAGATGCTATTATATTTTATATGCTCTCAAGACCTTAATTTTTAGTATATATCACTAGTAAGATCCTCAATAATAGAAAATAATTTGAATAGAACTATAGTGGTTGTCACTGTTTATTCATAAAATAGAAGATCTTAAAGACTACAATATAAAAAAAATCACCTGCATCTACAGAAGCTCACATTTTATATTTTGTGTACTTTTATTCTTCATTCTAATTTTTCATTCTTTAATGAGCATGTTTCCAATTAAATCAAATTTGTACCTATTCTATTTTAGGACAATCTGACCAAAAATGTCAAGTATTACTCTCTACTACTTGCCCAAAGAGAATTGGGAAATATATTAAATTTTATCTCTGTAGACACTAGTACTTTGACAAAAATGAATACTCCACACAGGCATGTTAAAAATGTAAACTATTAGAATATCGGGATTTTACTGGCAGTAAGATTGCAGATCTGGAAGATAGATACACAATTTCCGTATGACAAAATGTCCTGTCTCAAGTTTCACACAAAATCCTATGTATGACCACAGAACATGTAATAAAAACTGGCAGTGGAAAAAAAACCTATATATTTTATACTACAAAGTGTTATGTGCAAAATATTTTGGAATATGCCTTATTTGCTTTTAAAAAAGATTAGTGAAAAAAAAAAAAAGGTCAGCTTCCAGTGATGAGGGATCTAATCCAGACAACAAGGAAGTCAATTGTTTGTAGTCAGATTTAAATTTGACACTATATTAGAAAAAGGGAATTACGCTCAGAGGAAAATACCTCTGTACATATGTATGTGTGTGTGTGCGCGCACGTGTGTGTGTGCCTGTTTGTGGGTGGGTGATGGATGGAGAATGTGTGTATATATATGAATACACGTTCATACATATATAAACACACATAATTGTCATTATTAAGTATAATAGGGTTAGCAAGCAGTACAAGTGAAATGACTCTGCCTTTCAGACAAGGCTAGTTTACTATTACTGGGGGTTTGTTATAATATACTACCATACACACTTCCATAAATATTGCTGACAAAGTTAATATGCAAGAAAGGAACATTTTTCTTACTCCGATCGAAGATGCAATAATCAAATCATAAAACACAAAACCAATAGCCAATCAATGTGAATAAGTCTGCCCATAGGCTTAATTCAAGCAAGCCATTCACTGAGCTATGTGATGGATCTGTCAAATCCAATACAGCATTACAGACATACTAGCAACATCAAGTGAACATGCAATGACAAAATGAGAATACGCCCCACTGCCATGCTTTGACTTGTTCTACCTCGTAAATATAAAACTTGATAACTTTACTAGTTTCTCTTATTTCAAACTTAGACAGAAATCTAACAACTGTGGTTTTAGTTATATTTTTAAAAATATTACATGAAAGCTGAATAAAAGTTGTATGAACATTTTATTGACATCTGATTTAGTGTCTTTTGCAAATTCTTACAATTAGTTTTTCCAAACACTCTCAGTTTAAAGAGTTTGGTAGGCAAAGCTCCAGAATGGTGAAGAACATATATAGACCAGTAGGTCCCCTTTTATCAGTTATAAGAATTGGAGAATTTATCAGAACTATTTTAAATATTGGAAAGTTAAACATGATTTTTTTGATCCACTTCTGCAAAGAGCTTCAAATCTTTAAGTGCAATTTAGGATGGTGATAGATCACACAGTATAAAAATTCAATTCTAATGTTTTTTGAAGTTGTTTTCAGTCATCATATTGCTTCATAAAGAAAACAAAATGTACCTTTTTGTTTGTTTGTTTTGTTGTTTTTGTTTTACAATTCTAAGAAATGACTGGAGAAATCTGCAAGGTCTACCTCTGTTGTGAAATTGCTTTTAGGAGTACGTTATTTGTCTTAACAAATACTTAGGGGGTTGTGTTGATTTGTTTCAAGAGATTTCCTTGCCACCTGATTCTCCCCTATATATCTGTCCTTTGCCTATTTCCAGCAATATTTCCAGCTGTGACAAACAAGGATACCGTTGCATTTCTTCACAATAGAGCCCTCTTACAGTGATCATTATCCATTGACTTGGTGTATTGATTCTGGAGTCCCAAATCTTTCTGTTAACCTTTATTTTTAATTTACCAAAACATGTCTCCAATCTAAAGATTTCCTCTTTCCATCTCCTGACTTGAGAAGCATGTCAAATATGGAACATTGCCATTCATCATGTATATGAGCTGTGATCAAAAAAATAAAGCTTTTTTTATTTTTTAAATTAATACGAAGTAGTATTTCCATGATATGTCACTGCTTCAATAGTACATACTCACTGGTTCTCACTTCATTTTTCTGGGCATTGTTTACACATAAACAGTAAATGTATTTCATGTGTAATTAAATTAAATAGAGGCTCGAATCAACACTAACTAAGAGTAGTGTATAAGGAGATACGGAATCTTCAATATTGTCAGAGGACAGCAGATGATTATTACATTGAGAAGAAAAGATACAAGCAGTTGTACTGAAATATATTTCAGCACTTTCAATACTAATAATTCGCAAAAGCTGCTAAATTAAATTCATTAAAAAATGAATGAAAAATTAATCAAATTAAGCAAACTGTAGTTGTGAGTAATCAGAGGTATCCATGTTTGCACATAGTTTCCCGTATGCAAAGAAATGTTTGAGCAGATTGTTTTCTGTTTTATTCTCTGTGCTAGTTTTAGGATTCTCCCATGAAGAAATTCAGTTACAATAGTTGTAATTAAGACAAGAAACCATATTCATTTGGGGGAAGCAGATCGAAGATGAGGGTTAACCACACTTAAAGAGAGAAGCTAAATTAAAAAAAATCCAAAAGATATAAAATTCATTTAAGATATTTAAAATTATGCAAGCAAAGACAGGTTATTACAATTCTAATTATACACAAAGTGTATCTGAAAATTAGACATTTTTTCAAAAAATAATTAAGGGTTGTAACAACTGCATTACTACTGATGCCATCTCAAGCTTCCTTTACAGCATTTAAGAGCACTATGTTCTTAGACAAATCCTTTACTTTTTTTGTCAGCATAACTCTTAGTGATGTTGACTCTCTACCCATAGCAGAACATGTGACCAACTGATGTCTTATCTTACAGCATTTGATTTGTTTTATGAGAAGGTACCTTAATTCATAATTAAAGCATTTAAAAGTCATCTCGATATTGCTCAGTTTCTCTATGTAACATATAGGTTTTCAGGAATTCATTTATTCATAGGAATAAACATCCTATAAAATGTTCCAGGGACACCTGAACGATATCTGGCAAAAAATGACTAACCACAGGAGTTTATTTATAGTTTTGTCCTTTCAGTTTAGTAAGTTTTTAGAAGTAGGAATTGTTTTGCATTATAAGCTCACAGAAAAATACTAGAGCTGTGACATGCTAACACACCTTTGTGGAAATGAAATGAAACTACTGAGTAGCACTTCACCTTTGTAGGTTACCCTAAGTAGAAATAATACACCGCGAACAAAGTGCGTACAGCACATATCTAGTTGATATTACTGATCCAAAATTAATAAAAAGTAACTTGCTTACCTGTCTGACACAGCATGCCTCAGCCACACATGCAAATTATTTTATTCACATAACTTTAAAAAATATATCTTCATTACCCAGAATAAGCATTTGAAAGGCAAATATGCATGCATAGCATTGTAACATTCATACCATGGTACTTTGTTCTAAAAATACAGAATCCATGAACAGCACTTCAATCTAAGAAATAGGTCACTGAAATTTCTTAATCTGTTGATTTCTTTAAGAAACAGAAACATTTAAAACAATGTCTAATTTAGCATCTAAAGAATTTTTTCAATATATATTCAAGATTTAAGAAATTATCTCCATGATTCCAAGTGAAAATTTTCTTATATCAGGAATTGAGAAGTGTGACCTTACTTCTCACTGCTATTGTGAAGCAAAATATATGCATGTATCTGTCTTTCACAATATACACCCTCCCTTTATGACTGTAGACTCTTCAAGTACTTGAAAAGGATTAAAGGTAGCATAGATTTTATTAAGGGTACAGTTTATGAAGAAAACGGGATATTCTTTCTTTTCATTACAAAATCATGTCCACACAGTGCAAAGACTTAATTTTATGCAATTTGACAAAATCTTTTTCCTCCTGAAGTCAATAGCAATTTAGACATTGACTTCAAAGGGGTCCCAATTTTCATCTTGCAAGAAGACAAGTTAATTTATGCGACATCGCTTTTAGTTTATAGAAGTTAAGTCTTTGCATGTTTCTCTTATGCAGATTTTAATAATCTTTTATTCCTGGTATTATTTCCACCAAATGTGGTTTACGTTTTGAGGATACAGAGCAAAAGAAGAATAACTGATTTTTTTTTCAGTATTTCAAAAAATCAAATGCCTGGAAAGAAAGCAAATGGAAAAAAATATTGTTTTGCCTTGGACAGTTCAAGCTTAGACACAGTTCATTTTCAATTTCCACTGACTAAAACAATGTCAATGAGAATTGAGGGCACTCAATAGGTTCAGGTTCTAAATCAACTGAAATAATACTCCTAAGACGAATAATGATCTTTAGTAGCAGACCATCATGAAGCTGTACATATATTTATCTACATTGTACAAGGGTCACAGACATTAACTGGGTGATCTACAGCTTGGGAATGTGCACATCTCATGCCTGATTCTCAATTAAGGCCTAAAATCTCTCAATTTATGGCTATTCATGGATTATAATAAAACAGCCTGCTTTAGATATCACAATTATCTGCAGAGCAACAAGACAGTTATGAGACTTCAACAAGGCAAATTTATAGAATCATCTTCAACTTCCACTGGTCAAATATTTATTAGCAGTAAATGAGGTCTTACCTGTCACTGTAGGCAGCTGCAGTGGCAGTGGCAGGCTGGGCATACCGGTAGGCAGCATAACCACCCTGAAACACAAACCCACACTCTAACTGGATTGCTACAGCACCTTAAATAACATTTTGCAAAATTTAGCAACAACTGAAAGAATACTGTCATGCTGTAAGTTCAGATAAGGGGCTAAATACATAGGAAATATTTCAGTGAATTGTTAAGCAAAGTTTATCGCCACAAACTTATACTTGTTAAGATTTGTCCCAGAGATCAGGAGAAAGCAATGAACTGTATTCATCAACGTAAGTTTTTTTACCAGATGGTACTGTATTCTTCCACAAGTTTTCAAGTAGCAATTGTTCTTATGAATGAGGTGTATGCATATTAATAAAGCGATGATGAACTTAAAAGAAGAAGTCAGCTAATAATCAATTCTTTTTTGTACAAAATATGATTTATCATGTCTGGTTGATTAAACCTATGAATTTGTGCACTCAATTAACACTTACTGTTACACAGGTTTCCAATTTCTACACAAAATTATAATGAAGAAGCAAAATTCTCTTCTTCCATGAATTAACATTCAGTTGTATGTAACAGTAATTGCAGCTGTTCAATTAAGCAAACAGGACAAACAAACACACATTTGAAAGGAACTGTGTGCAGTGATGCATTGATTATCAAACTGTGAAAACAGCAGAGCTTCCTGTTCAATGGACCGCGGTGTTATATCAACCATTTCAAAATGATCTCAGCATGCCAATTAACAAACAGAGGCCAGTCTCCACAGATAACACAAACATGATTTACGTCCCAATTAGAATTCACCACCCCATAATCCTCTGGGACAGGGGACTTTTGTATTTCCTTTCCCACCTTCCCCCACCTTAACAAAGAGTTGACTAAGAAAGTACCAGATCACTCAGCTTTGAATAAAATTCACTATTTTGCTAAAGTGTTTGCTTTAATGGACTGATTTTTTTTCTTTTTTTTTGGAAGGCTGCATTCACACAAGATATTATGCTGAAGCATGAAGAATAGGCTACGATGTGTCAACCTGAACTGTAACAGTATTACATTTTTACTGCAGGAACTTTTGTGGGTTTTCTATTTTGATTTTACAAAATAAAAATTCACTCTTTTCAGAAAAGCAATTTCAACTACTTTCACAAGCCATTTCCCCTTCTACTATTTTGCTTGGTGGAATCGCTTTCATCCCTAACAGGTGTAAGCCTTTTTTGGTTTGAAGATTTGAAGCAGGTTGGTTTTGGAAATCAGTTGTTCAGCTGATAACACATCACCCTAAGAATAAACATATGTTTTACATATACTGACAGCTCATTAGAAACTCCAGGCTTTGAATTGTCAACTTACTTGAGGAATATTCTTTCTGACTTTTTCAAGTGCTCACACAGAGAATAGTACATTTACCTCCCCGCTCCTGGTCAGCTCCCTGCCAGCAGCAATTGTGTCACACAACCACGGGAATAAGGCAAATGCTTTCATAATACTATATATGCTGTCTCTTTTGCAGCAAGCTGCTTCTCCATGCAAGCACAGAAGCATTGAGACGAAATACTTTCTCATTTCACATCATTTGATTTTTATAAACCAATAGAAGGCTATTACTGTCAAAAATGTATAATAGGCACATATTGCTTGCAGGTATGTGCATACAGGCAATCAGATGTCAAATAATGTCACCAAGTGCAAACTGAGCCAGTAAACAGTGAGGCTGAGAGATGATAATGCAAGCTGCACACTTGGTCTGGCTTCTGCTACAAGGAGAAATGTGAGAGATTATACAAATTTATCCATTCTCCCCTCCTGGTTTTTGAGTGCTAAAAATAGCACCTGGGTTTTTTATTTTCTTTTTTATTTTTCTTTTCTTGTTGGTTTTTTTTTGTTGTTGTTTTTTTTTTCCTTTTTTTCTCTCAGTGCTGATATGAGGGAGTACACATGGTAAAAGTAAAAAAGAAGATATTAAGCTTGTTTCCCTGATCCAGTCCCTGGAAATGTGTGGCAGACTGCAAGTCATTCTGCAGTATGACATGATTCTGTTCGCCACATGTACGACTCCTTTGCTTGTCCTGTAGTCCATTTCTAAAACTCCTTATCTAAATGTGAGAGCCACTTCAGTTCAATCCAACTATGCACATAATGACTCCCACTGTGGTGCAGAATTGAGAATGGGCCACCATGAGAAGTATCAATGTTTCAATGTTCTTAATCAGACAAAAATGAGACAGGCTGTTCACATACTGGCTGGTCTTAAATCTGCAGATGGTAGGCTCTGTGAGGATTGTTTTCTTTCCTTTATTTAACTATCACTAATAATTGGTCAGTCTGTGAAGACAGACCCTTTCTTGCTCCCTAAATATAAGAGTTACATTCCTTTTATGCTTACATTTTGATTTGCTTTCATCAAAGATTTGCTGCTGAACAATGAAGCTCAACTCTGAACGTTATTAAAATGCTTTGGATTCAACAATCAGTATGAAATTTGTAAGAGCCCTGGAAAGACTGAGTCTAAAGCTATAAAAATAAAGAGATATCAAAGTTATTGAATTTGCCTGAGTTCTTTGGAGATCTAAAATGCAGGACACATTTGCTTATCAGAAAAATCATAACTCCCTACCAGCCCATGTCACGATTTCATATTTTTAACATAAGCTATCATATAAATACACATAAAAACATTCTTAAGCAAATTATTTTTATGGGGTTTGTGTTCTGCAGTTTTGGTGTGGTACTAAGTTTTCTTATTGTTTTACTTCAATGACTTCAGCTGATTATCATTACAACAACAAAATACTTGAAGGTACGCTTTATATTGGGAATCAGGATGGGAATCTGATTCAAACCCCTGAACTCTGAACTTGTGTGACAATTCTTTACAATTTTTCTCTAGTTTTGAACTTGGCTGGTATCTTAGATGAAGAATACATTAGTACTATTCAATACCTATACATCTCTTGAGTAATATATTAAATATTTATCTCACGACTTAGATTATATTGCAAAATATTTAGAATAAAATTATGTAATAATTACATAATAATAAATAACAATTTTCAGTTCCTGTGTTTTAGAAATCTTTTAGGAGTGTGATTTTTTTTCCCCCGCACTAAGTACATTCAAACAGAAAGTACCTGACTGTAATGCTTTGAATTATTATTTTGAAAATTCAGCTGAAATAATAATAAATTCAGCTAAAATAATTTAAAAATGCTTACTGCCTTATCTGTGCTCCCATATTTGCTGCTTCCAAAGGAATGACAACACGATGTTACAGCAGCTTAAGTTGTCTTAAAAAATTAGATATAGAGTCAATATACTCGCAGTCCAAATATAGCGATAAATCTCACTGGCATAAAATACTGAATGGGACACTCACAACAGTAACTGTTGCATTTCATGGGATATGAAGAATATCTGTGATTTTGTGATAGAATTTGGAAAATAAAATGCAACTGGTAGCCTATTCTTATCATTTATACACACAGAATCCATTTTCTCACACAATGATTTGAGTATTAGTATGATGTTACAAGAGTCTACATTCAGCATAATGAGTTTTTTCCATCAGTCAGCATGTCATACCTGTGGGAACTTATTGCCATACACAGGCTCTTGCAATACTGCTCTATAAAGAAACAGAAATGTAATGATTTGAATGAGTAAGGTAAGAAGGATGGAAAGAAGGATGGAAAGAAACATGTAAGGAAGGAATTTAGACAAATTGCCCTAAGCCATTCATTACAATTTTCCTTTCAATGTTTTATACATCTCTGTGGCTCAGGCAAATTGAAAAAGAGCAGTGGGATCTGTGGAAGATCAGTAACCAACTGTTACAGAGAAATCTTGATCAATTTTAGAAAGAAATCACAAAAATTTGAGATAAGATATGATAAAATGGAAATGAACGGAAAAATCAAATGCATCTGAATTTTTAAATAAAATGTGTATATCTGTAGTAAGAATAATTTCCACAAAAATGAGTTATACAAATGCACATCTACAGGTTACAAAACCATGTATATGTGTGTACCTCCTCCTAAAATACCTATATTAGTTTTTATCTTGATCTCAGCTGTACTGCCAGTGTTTATTGTAGATACAGATAAACTAAGTGACTCTAAATGATAAGTATTTCTTTTGTTAGTTTTTCCCATTACTAACCTATTTAATATTCTATGTGAATGTTGATAATTACTTTTCCTCAATTTTTACTTCCTATACCTCCTTTCACTCAATGATCTCAAAGTATTTTGTGAACATAAATTAATCAAGATTCAAAACCTTCTCTAGTATTGAGAATTATATCTGCCTTATTAGATAAAATTAGAGAAATGGGATTAAAAAATGGCATGAATTATACCCAGCCCTGTAGAATATAGTAATTTCTTCTTCTACTCATGTGATACTGAGGTTTAAACAGTATTTGTTCTGCTCACAGAGTAAAACTATGACTAGGAGAATTAAAATAAAATATCCACCGCCTCTTTGTGCAGGCTCAACTTCTGGAACAGGCTTATGTGAAAGGTTCACCTTATTTCTACACTGTGCTCCCAAAGGTATCTGTTGCCTCAGAGAAGCCCTTGGTAATACATCCAAACTGACCCTACCTGTATTAATTCCAACCAAATACAATCACCAGGAGTGATCAAGCATCTTTTTGAATGCAGTGTTTACATCTCAAATAAAGACCAGAGAGATGAAAAGATATTTCATCAGTAGATCTCAAAACTTTTAAAAAGGTATCATGGAGTGTTCCAGCACATCGAGCACTAGGAGGAACAACCCACTGCTCCTTGGGGACTCTTTTGCCCTTGGAAACATCATTTCTCCACTTCTCATTCTGTTTCTGTGAGTCACAGGAAATGGCACATCCCTACACTTACAAAACACAAAAATTTTTGGTTCTTAAAAGAAAGACTTCAGTGCTAACTGCATATCCTTGCTTTTCACACGAGAACAGTGCCTTTCAGGATATCTGATTGCATTGATGGACTTCTACCTAGTATCAAGGGAACATTGCTTAGATAATTATATCTGCTTTTTCCTTGGGAAATAAATATGTGCTCCATCCTCAATACCATCCTACTTCTGAGCTAAGGGAGATGGCAGTAGCTATTGATAACCTTGTTCCATACCCCTGATCACAAAGTATGCCTTATTCTTGGTCAGCAGCTCAGAAAAAAATCTGAAACTTATGTACTTATACATTGCCGTGGACTCTCATCAGTTGCAGTATGACAGGTTCAGAATCCTGAGAACAGGTTAGAAAATCTTGCTGTGAACAATAAAACTGACTAATGTCCATGGTGAAACTGTATTACCAAAGGGCTTCTGAAGCTGGTGATGACAGAGTTTGGAAGTTTCTCATATTTCTTAGCCTTCCCACATTTTAGGTGTGGATTGAAGACTGACATGTTCTGAAAACATTCTTTATGACAATGGTAAAAAAAACCCAACAGATTTAAGATAAAGCAGAGCAATAGTGTACAGCTATTATTCTAACTGCATATTTCTGTGTCTATTACTATTTTTGCTTCATCTTGTGGAGTGTATTTTCTTATTTTCACAAGTGTCAATCTTCATCTAGGAACTTCTATATTTGCTGGCAGGCAACCTTAATTCTCTTTTAATGACTTTTTCTCTTAGTGAATCAATACTTAATTTTAAAAGGGCTTCCTTATTTCCTAATCATCTCCTTTATTTTTCCTACTCAAAGGCACATTTAAAAAGGAATTCAATAGCTCAGCTATTTCAGAGGCATTATTACATTTCCTATAGAACTATATGAAATATAGAATATATTATATTACATCTAGAATCATGGATGTTGATTTTTCATTTTAGACTGTACTTTCCACCTATTTTTATACTCCTATTCCTCTGGTTAGTATTAAGCAACTCTGGTTATTTGCTGCTCTTGGTTCACCCTGCAGTTTTCACCCAACCACTATCTTTTTGTGTCTTCCCTCCTTCCTTTCCACAAAATCTAGCCATCAAGGGCTATATTGACAGCTAGTTATAAAAAGATTGGCATGGTCCATATTACTGTTGATACTCAGTGTAATCATACCAGAATGAAACCCGCTTTGATATGCTTGTTAATGCATATTTTTCGTCTGGCTTTTCAGTACTGTATTCCTTTTGTTTTGCTTTCTGTGGTATTTTTAAGGTTCCTTTCTCTCCAGTCTACTATTAAAACCTATATTGTTTAATTTTTTTTTCTCCTTTTTTCCCACAAAGCATTTGTTCTTTCACAAAGCTTCAGCTCTGCACTTAAAATGAAAAGCTGAGTAGAAGTATGTCATAATCAATTCAGATTTAATAAATAACTTGGTCCTCTGCAAACTAATACACTAAGAATGAATACACTGTGAATTTTAAGGTTTCTTTTGATTTATGCCAGTTCTCTATCTCTCTCTCCCTTCCCTGCAAAATGTTTTATATGCAAGAAAGAACAAATGTGAAGAAAAATGAATTATAAAATAAGAAGCTTTGTACATTATTAAAAAAATTAAACAAATTTCCAGAAGAGTGTTTTAATTCTGTCAACTGCTGTAAAGGTAAACATTCTGCTGCATTAAGAGAACTAAGAAATGCAATCAGAAATACAAGGCTGCAACTGAGTGAAAACCAATGTACCAGTATAGTTATTCCTTTTTCTAATGCACATGACTATTCCAGACAACAAAACTGAGGCTATACCAGAATTAGTAACTTCTTTTTTATCTTCCTCATTGAAATCACTTTCCATTTGGAAACAAAATGTTAAAGTCTGTGAGAGGATGTGAGGGCACCTAAAAATAATATTGTCAATCACCAAAAGAGATATTCCTGTTTTTCAGCACCAGTGGGTTCCAAAACTACGAACTGTTACATTAACATTTAGTTCCCACCTCTACTATCACATTAAGCAACCCTGAGAAAGATGTCTTGTTGCCTTCACATTTTCGGGTTGGTAAACTGTGCAAAATGGATGTCACATTCTTTTGACAGTTTGAAGAAATATGAAAATTGGAAACCACACTTGAAGAAATTCCACACTGTACCATGTATCCTATATAGCTCAAAAATTCAGCAGCAATGTGTTTAGGTGAGATTAAAGCAGCATACTACACTCGAGTAAGCCTTTGGCAAATGGGTGATTCTCATGTGTTGTAAACAATATGTTACTGATAACATCACTAAGTACATAGGGAGAGAATTTTAACCAATGCTAATTTATGTTAAATATCTTTTTAAACTACACAAATTAATTTTCAGATAAGTATCAGCCTCTTTTTACTCCTATCAGAAAAACAGAACCTACTTCATCCATAAATTCAAATTGTTTTCCTTCTTTACCTAAAACTTATTAAAAAAAATCCATTCCTGTGGAAATAGTTCTAAAATATTGCTGATAATGAATACAAGGAATGTTTTCTAGCACTACCTATTGAATTTTTAATATTCATACCAATTTCAACTCATCCATCTCTTTGTATCTCAACAGAGACAGTACAACAGAAGTACAAGTAGGTTAGAGAAAGTTGTCTGGTGAAATAAAGATGATACATGTCACTTAGGACCAGATTGCTTTATCAAAATAATAACAAATGTGAAAGATTACTGGAGTATCAGTAACACAGTTTACATCTACACATTTAAAAAAAAAAGCCTGTGAACATAGCGTATAAGAATTAAATATTTTAGAAGAGTGAAGTTCATCCTCAACCACCTGAAACCTCTTGCATACTCTGACATAAGTAGCCTCTTTGTATACATTCAAGGTAAAAGCTTCAGTATTGGTAAGAAACTTTAAAAAATATTATTTAAAAGGAAATTGGTGACCAATGAAGTGAGGTAGGTAATGATGGATCCAGGGCTACGGATCCTTACTAACAGATATAACCACTTCCTACATCATGAGCAGTCTCTACCCATTTCATTTAAATTGAAATAAGTGGGCTTCAAAAGAGCAGATGGAAGTCTACTCAGATTACAGACAATACATAGCCATATCTTAAACTTACTATGTAATTAAGCTCTACTATCACCATGGCACTTATGTATACCCAGTTTTGCCTGGATTTGGGAAATCTATATCTCTCCATAAAGTATTTGCATACTTCAGGTATTAATAATACTCAGCTTGCCTCGATGTTTAAAAAGAGCTTTTGGGGATTTGCAGAAGAACGTTTCTGCTTTATTTTTATTTTTAATTTGAACTTCAATTTTGAAGGGAGATGCCCCTCTACACATGCACACACATTTTTCACATCTTTTTGCATTCATTCAGCATTTGATTGAAGAGTTAATTCAGCTCCACTGAACAATGATAGATGTAATGAACAGAAAGGTCTTCCAATGTGAGAGATATTCTTCTCAATTCTTTCTGACAGGCAAGGGATGGTAAATAGACAAAACAGAGTCAAGCTAGGCAGCAAACTTGTAAAAAGAATGACTCTGGTAATGTACAAGGACAGCATGCACATCAATGAATACTTACATAAATGTCTGCACCATAAAATCCATCCTGGTATACAACACTGCAAGGATGCACACACAAAGAAAAACATCCATATTAGTGCATTTCCACATGCAAATGCCACCAACCCCTGCACAGCTGAGGTTAGTCTTGTCACAAGA